AGAGAGGATTGTTCAAGTACTCAAGAAAATATATTCTTCCACAATTTCATGAATCCTAAAATTTAAAAAAATACAATATCTATGATATTTTTTTCCTCTTACACTCATTTTCATTAAGGATATGAATATGAAAACTATTTTCAAAAAAGCATCACTTTGACTTTCATGAAATGGAAGAACGTATGGTCAATTCTTATTTTCAATGAAAATTATCATAGCAAAGTTACCACTGTAGTTCCTTTACATATTAGAAATGTTCATTTCTCAATTCTTCAACAATGCTGAAGGTAAATTCTACAAGATATCGATAAAACTTGTTTTGTTTTAAAGTATGTAACATAATAAACAATTAATTACTTTTATCAAAAATCATTGACGAATGTTGTCGTACATAACTAAGTTTTGTGAAAATTTCCTTATCAAAGCTTAATGTAAGTTCATCTAATTGATGTTCAATAAGATAAAATAAACTTTCAGTTAATGGTTCAATTGATCTACATCGAGTAAGTATAAGTGATTTGAGATTTGGAAAACGAAGAATTTCTTTATGATTAAATAACCATTGATAAATAAAATCACAAGCAATTGAATTTGTTTCATCAAAATGAATACGTTGAATAGAAGATGAAAGACATGATGAATTTAAAATCAATGGAAAGAATATTGAATTAAGCTTCTTATAAGATGAACCTAATGTAATAATAAGACCACTGTTCAATTGATTATCATTTATTGAAAGAATTGAACACACAAGAGAATTGAAACGAATATTTAAGGACCATAAAGACGTTAATAAATCAGTCCATGATAGATGAGAAAATATATAAAAAAGAGTTTCATTTGGTAATATTTCTATTGTTGTTTGCGAGTTCATTTTATCTAAAACTAAGGTTATGCTATGCTTTTCTTTTTTTCATTTTAAATCACTAATTAAATGACTAATATAAAAAAAAATAAAATAAAATGCTTGTTATAATACTTCATGAATATGATTCAAATTCAAACAGTTTTTATTTAAAATTAATACATTATTTTAAAAATAAAACAAACGTCAAATCTTCAAAGTTGAGTAAAACAGATTTGTTTCATAGATGATAAATATATCTTTTTTGATTCCTATGACTGTTCTACAACTATCTCCAATCAACAATCTTAATTATTTATATTTATTAATTCAGCTTTTCACATAATAATTCTATTATGGAAACACATTCAAAGAGAAAGTATTCCTATTAAAAATAGAAAATTATTGATATGTTGTTTAACTCACTGAGAATCAACACTGTACATTTGAATTTTAAAAATTCCATCGTTTTTTTCTAACATACTATGTGTTTTTGATATTTATTCGTTCTTTAACACTAATAAGTTACAAGACACAACGAATTTTTATGATTTCTTGCTAGTGTTATATGCCAATGAGTAAATTATTTGATATTGCTAGCAACAAAAAAAAAGCAAACGAAGAATATTCAACTTAATCTTACGATATTTTAATGAACATATTTCAAAATTTTAATATCTAGAAGAATATTTTCTGTTGTATGTTAAATAATTCCACGAAGTCAATTGATATTAAAATATAAAACTATAGCAAATTCACTTCTTTTTGTTTATGCTACAAAGGAATGATAATTAATAAAATTCTTCGATTCAATGTTAATATCACGTTTTCAAAATTCAATATTAATGAGCGATGCAAAAGTCTTTGCACAAATGTCAAACTCTGTTGGACCATATTGTCAAGTTTTAAACCAATCAAATTTCTTTTTGTTGAAATAAGAGCAATGTCTGAACTACAAATTTTGTGCCAGACATATTTTTCCAGAACGAATCTCAGAAGGAGAAAAAACTAAAAACCAAATACCTCGAAAAAAGTTCTTTCAACTTCACCATCGCGCAATATTATTTTTTATTTTCTATTAATTTTTCTATATCAGAAGTGAAATGAAAGAACACATTTAATGATGATTTTTGTACCATAAAGAGCGGTCTTTCCATTGATGTATTGAAAGTTAAATTTACGGTTGGTCTTTATACCAATATATAGCTTTTTCTCAAAAAAGACTGTATAATTTGGTCGTTCCTATTACCTGACCGTTTTGCAACAATAAAAAAATTACTTTTTGAATTGTTTTTTTTTCTGCTAAGTTTCTATAATCTTACAGATTTCGAACAAATAACGCACAAAGAATTCAGTTCATGCGTGATTTCTGGAGATTGTGGCCGATGTCCTTCCAAACTGATAGTTCTTGCGAAAGACATTATTTAACAAAAATTTCTGTTTCCAAATTATTCTGATTAAAAAGTCAAGAACGGATCTGAAAAATTTTACTAAAGCTTATATCGATAAAGCTTTTGATGAAGTACATCTGGCGTATTTTTTTGTTAGAATTCGACCCATGTAGTTCAAAATAATTGAGACATACAAACATTTCAAGTTGCAAAAATGTTGCAAGAACTTATCTAGAGGTGTTTGATTTTTGGCTTTTCCTCCTTCTTAAATTCGTTCTGGAAAAATATGTCTGGTACAAAATTTGTAGTTCAGACATTGCTCTTTCCAACAACAAAAAAATTTGATTGGTTTAAAAGTTGGCAATATGGTCTAACAGAGTTTGACATTTATGCAAAGACTTTTGCATCACTCATTAATTTCTATTCTATTTATCGATAAAACATGTTTTAATTCTTTAGCTTTTTATTTTTCAAAATAGGATAATATTTTCTCTCTACAACTAAAGACCATTTTTGTAATTAATAGAAACCCATAAGAAGTTTATTACTGTTCAATGCATCTAGACTAAAAGAATTGTCGAAATATAAATCTAAACAGCATTGTCACATATCCTGGAATTTGGAGAAGTGCTCAAATCTCTGCCGGGAGATGCAACCACCAGTGTGAGAGATGCAAATCTCCAACAGGAAATCACCGTATCTCCCGAAGGAGGTGTCGCATCTCCTGTGGGAGAAGTGAGCACTTCTCCAAAATCTTGGATATGTGACACCACTCAACACACTGATATATAAAGAAAATCTGTCCGTTCCAAGGATAAAACTTGTCACTGAAAGCAAGAGTATAGAAAGATGCTGCAAAATTGAATTTCAAGGATAGAAGAGTTACCTTCAACGTGCTCCTCACGATTTATACTCTGACCTGTTTAAGCCTCATTCACATGAGATCCCAGTTTCTTGCATTTATTTCATATAATTCGTATTGCATAATATCGTTATTTAATTAAAATCAATCTATGTCCAGCTATACTCAAATGCAATGAGAATATTATTTACAATTTAAAAGAAAAAGAAAAAAAAACTTTCTTCTTTTTTTTAAANACAAAATTCAGAAGGGTCAACCAGACTTTCGGAGATGTGCTATCGTCTTAGCTTCCCATAGTGAATAAAAAAAATTGATCTTAATTATTGAATTTCTCGAAAAATTCGAACTTGTAGTACCTCTCAAAAATTAATCTTGGCTAAAAGCACATTCCAATCGCATGAAGTTTTCAGGAGACGTTGGGACTTTAGTGAAGAGACTATGATAAAATTTTCAGGTCTCTGCGATAATTTTTTCGATAGATATTCAACCAACAAGGGTAAAAGATAATAACTTATTTGTTAAATCCGAAAATCTCTGTGGGTCTTCATTCTGAATAATTAATGTTGTTCTTTGTTTGAAACAGAATGTCGGAATGCAGAACATGACAGAGCTCTTTGTGTTAAATTTTTAATTTTGAAGTGGAGAACAGAAATGAAAAGTTTAATTCCTCGAAAAACTCTCAAAAATGATGCTCTTGTTATAAAAGTACTTTTTTTATATAATAGTAACAAAGTGTCATGCATTACATTTTGGCAAAGTATTTTATAATTACAAATTATGAAAAATATGAAAGGCAATAGAAGATTTCTCTGAAATATGTATACATAATAGAAAACCCGATATCTTCTATTTCAGAGCAAGGTTCTACTCATGCTTGATAAGACAGATTTCTTGTCTGGTCAAAATACTATTATGATATTAAGTAAATAATTTTGTTTGATAATTATCTTTTACATATAAGAACCATAACCTTTCCTTGGAAAGTGGAATTCTGTACATACTCTTTCGTTCGTGACATTTCAATATTTGTATAATATATGTTCTTCAAGACAGTTATGTTTGAAAAGAATTTGTATAGAAGAAGATTGATTTATATTTAATAAAGAAATTAATTGAATTATTTAAAAGATCAAAAAAAAAAGGAATTGAAGTGTCAGAAAAATGCTAATAAAAATGTACATTTGTCAACATTCATTATAAGATTCTGAAGTAACATATGTGAGTAGAAAATTCCAAGATTAAATATATTTTATTAATGCGATCTTTTAATTCAACAAAATTTATAAAAATATTCAGAATAACAAACAAAAACTTTAAATCCAAAAATGTTATTTCGCTGAACTCTATCAGTTGAACAACACGTTAGAAATAATAAGACAATTAAATATTTTTTTTTTCTATTTGAAAATTTTATTACGAATATGTAAAGATTTCCCTTTCCTACAACAAATCCTATTTTCTTTTAAAATAAAAACAATTTAGACTAATAATTGACCCAAACAATTCATTCTATTTTTATCATAAAAGGAAGCCGAATATTAATCTCTTTTCAATTAAAAAAAATAATGATTTCTCATAGGATTAGTACACTTGTGTTTTATTATCGTTGTTTTTTTTGTCACATCTTTGTTTAATATATATATATACACACATAGTTTTACACAAGTACTTATGAACCTATTGTCTTAGAATAACAACTAAAATAAAAAAAAAAATGAAGAAATCAGTTTGCATGATCTGATAGACATACGCATACACAACACAATAATTAGTTTAACAGAATAAAGGAACTGAAAAAAAAAATAATCAGAAGAGAAAAAATAAAGAACATAGTCATCAATATGACATATACAAATATATAGAAAAAAAAAAAAAGACGTGTGAATTCACACATTAGCAAAAGTCAGGCTAATTCCAAGACTTTAACAACACCTTGACTGTTTGCTGCTAATAAAATATTTTCACGCTAAAAAATAAAACAAAATAAAAAAATAAATTCTTAATAAAATTTCAAAAATAAAAAAAGCTTTTAAACATACATTACTCCAACACATAGCACTAACAAACTCGTTTCCTGTTTCTTCTTTTTTGACTCGATCTGTATTAACAGTTGTTGTTTTAACTGTTCCATTATTAACATCATCAAATTTATAACTAAGTAATGGTCGAGATATTTCACGTTGATATAAATGTACTGTATTTGTTTCGCTACCTGAACATTTCAATTGAATTTATTTTATTAATTTAAAATTAAAAAAAAAGAAGTTTTACCACAAACAATGTATCCATTTGAAACAGCTAAGCCAACGAAATTTTTTTCATTAACATGTCCACGATATGTTCTTAAACATTGTCCTTCTGTAACACGCCATAAACGAAGTTGACTATCGGTCGATGCTGAGACAATTTCATTATTTGATAAAAATCGTGCATAAGACACAGCTTTTTTATGACCTTTTAATAAATGACATGGTTCACGTGTATTACGTAAATCAAAGTAATATAAATTATGATCCGCTGTGCCAAAGACAATATTATATTGTGAATCTGGTTTAAATTTAACACAACAAACATTTGATTTTGCATCAATTGTTGTTACAGAATAATCATTATGCATCGACCATATTTTAACTAAGATTTCATTTGTTTTTTTTTTCGAAAATATTTAAAAAAAAAAAGTTATTAATTTACCTCGACAATCATCAGAACATGATGCAAGTAATTTTGGATCTGACGAACAAAAATCAACACTCCATGAACGTTTTTCATGTTCCTAAAATTATTTCTTTTTCTCTTCTATAATCAAAAGTAAATAAAGAATTTTACTTGAAAAGTTCGAACTTTTTGTGCTGTTGCCATATCCCATATAGAAACAAATCCATCATAATCACTTGATGCTAAATAATTTCTTAAATATGGATTCCAACTGATACAACTTAATTTAGCTGTACATAAAACTTCTTTTGTCGGATAATGTAAATCAACAACATTATCTAATATTGATTGATATTCATATAACTTAAAACAAAAAAACAATAGAAAAAAATATTTCTCAAATAAAATTTTTCTTTATTTTATTATTAAAATTTTTACTTTGATCTTTTTTGAAACACCAGCAACAGCAAAATGTTCATAATCTCGATCGAATTCAATACTAAATCATAGAAAATTTTATTTAAAACAAAAAAATTCATATAAAGTTTATTTATATATGATCTTATTCATTTGAATAATTCTTTTGGATTGATTTCATTCGGATATTTATTATAGAAGAATCAGTGACCTGAATTGGACTTCGATTCCGTCGGAGTGATCATGAAGAATGATTTTTTCACATTATACAAATTTAATTTCGACTTATTTCCGTAATAGTAACTTGCATAAAAAATCCCAACATGCCTTCAATAGAGAAAATTGTTTCCAGCAAGGATTTGAAGGAAATAAATTCTTCCTAACATTTAGGACCCCCCCCCCCCAGAAGTCTCTGACATTTTTTGACGGAACTATATCGAAATTAAATTTGTATAATGTGAAAAAATCATTCTTCATGATCACTCCGACGGAATCGAAGTCCAATTCAGGTCACTGATTCTTCTANCGAAATTTAAAATCTGTCGATGAAATTCGGTATAGCTTCCTATGAAATTCTAAAATCCAAAATAATACTAACAGTAAAAAATCCTAGGAGGGGGGATCAGGAAAATGCAAATTTTTTTCGCAAACTCCGAGTGCAAATTTTTTTTGATAAAATTCCATCATTTGGACTCAACATCACCCTCTACGAGTTTCGTTTGGGTCCCATGCTCAAAAGTCAAGATTCAGCATACTGAAAAATCCTGGATACGTCACTGGACCTAGTGCAATCGAGTGTATACCTAATTGATAAGAATCCACTTTTTGAGAATTCGTTTAGAAACGTTCTTTTAATGATGACATTAAGCATCGTGGAAAGGCATTTTCAATCGTCTTTTTTGAAATTTTTCTTCTCATGAAAAAATCAATAAATCTAACTTGTCCTCCTGATTGTATCCAAGTAGGTACAGTATCATTAACAATAGTCGTGTCATTTGATGGTGATGATAATTCTTCTTTAATATCGATTGTTACATTTGATGATAATATTGGATTATCATCAATAATCTGCTTTGAATTTATATTTGTTGAAATATTTACATTTAATGATGATGATGAACATTTTTGTCGCTTAGTCATTTGTTTTAAATCATGATCAACAATATTTAATTCTTTTGTTAAAGATTCAATCGCCTTTAGGAAAGAAAATTAAAATAAATCTGTAAAAGCAAATGAGAGAAAACAAAAAATGATTCTTACTCCACTTCGTTCATGATGAACATGCATTAGAAATATTTCAAGTAAACGATTATGAACATATTCACTATTCTAATAAAAAACAAAAAACAAATGTCAATATAACAATTAACATAACAAATACAAACTAAATCAAGTTTTTCTTTATGCTGACGAATAACAGACATAAGACGATCAAGATCTTCCGTATTTAATGTATGAACATTTGTTACCATATCTGAAATATGTTCAACAATATTCTAAAAATAAAAACAATAGAATTTTTTCAAGAAAAATAACATTGATTAACATACACCATATTTTCCAAATGTTGGAGCTAATGGACGTTGTTGACGATATTTTTCAATAATTGCATTTACTAAATTCAAGATTTATTTTTTTGAAATAAAATATATATATATATATATGGCTTACATGTATAATTTGGAAATATATCAGATGTTTGAAGAGTTAACTGACATTTTGGACATCGACGAAGAGTTTCAACTGTTCGTTGAAGACATTTACTACTGCAAAAAACAAATAAAAATCTCAATGAGCACTCTAATTCTATGATAATGGAATTTTTTTTCTTCGTCTAATAACTAAATTTAATGAAGAAGATATTTATAGAATTAAAAATGTTTACATAGCTTCGAGTTATTATTTTTAATCAGACTTTGGAAGTTGATAGAGGGAAAGCGATTTGAGTACGAAGGTTAAAAAGTTAATGATCGCACCCAAATTTTCAAATCATTGTTTGACAAGAGAAAAACAGGGTTACATATTGAGATGATCTCATTTATGTTAGAAACTAAAAAAAATTTCATCGGATATCTTATCAATAAATAGATCGGTTTGAGCATTGAAATATTGCAGCTGTGTTAGCTAAAACAGAAGGTGAATGTTTTGAGAAACAGACTCAATTTGTTAAATATTCGATATCTTCTAAAAGTTATGGACAAAAATTTTCTTCATTCAATCTTGTTTAAGCATCCTTTTGTATAGTTAAATCTTTGCTGAATGATGATAATTCGATATCTTCAAATTCATCAGTATGCTAGGATCAATACAAACTCTTTGTATTTTGTTGATATCTCGCTTAATTTTCATTGTCTAGTCTTTCTTTTCATATGAAAATAATGATTCTCTATGAAATTTTCTACCATCTGATATGTAAACTACTCCAACTAAGATTGATCAATGTAAATAGACAAGAATTTATACGCAATTTCTTATAGTTTGACAAATCCTATTTTCCAACAATAGTAGAAAAAAAAGTTGGTTTAATGCCAATTTCATGAATCATTTCTTCTTCGAATCGATCAGAAAATCAATGTTTTTAGAACATCAATATTAGAATACTGATTAAGATTTGTATACATCGATCAAAATTTATTCTATGAAATTACGAGTTTTTTTATAAACTTAGTCGTCGAGCATTCGTGTTTGATTTAGATATTATATGCAAAATTTGTTAAGCTTGTTGTATTTCTCATTAAGTTGAGGAAAAAAGTGCATGTGTCAGAAGTTTTCCAAAGGGACGGCACGATGTGTTATAGGAGGTGCACGCCAAGAAGAAAATAATATTTTGTTTCTTGAAAAGATTTTTTATCCATCGCCCCCTGCCTCCAGGTAATATTTTGTCAAGGAGAGAGTACAATTACTTCTTGCATCGCCCTTGCTATGCCCCTGGTTTGTGTATTCATCAATAACAGTTGACTCAAGCTCGCTTTACCTTACATAATATCAAAGAATATACTTGATTATATTTTCAGACTCATTCTACCGTTTAATCATATTTGTAGTCAAAATAGAAGTGGTTTAATTGTTTTTGAATAAATATTTTCAAAGTGAAGAAAGTTGGCGATTCATATTATTACCCTATTCATCAATCTTAGGTGTAGCTACTTTTATATCAATCTCTAGAGAATTTCATGATGCATCTTTTCATATGAAAAAGAAGTCTGGATAATGAAAACTGAGCGAAATGTGAACAAAATACAAAAATCTTCATTGACTGCAGTTCAACCATTATTCATCGTTTCGTCAAGTCTAAGACTCAAATTGACACAATAGTTCTTGTTTATATCTCATTGAACATACAAAAAGAAACATACTAGTAGCAAAATAGATCACAATATATCAAAACAATCTTTCAAACTTATAAACACTTGTTAGTTCTTTACTAACCAAATATGCGATCAAATTTGACTTTAGTTTTGACTAGAACAAAAAAAAAAAATAAGGAAAATCCTACTCATTTCTGATGACTAGTTGGCTCAAAACAAACTGTTCGGTACATTTTTAATTAAATATACATTATATAGATTAATAAAACTCATTGATTAAAAGCATATAGAAGATTAATTATGAAAATAGATTTTTGTAAACTTTTAATTTTTTTTTTGTAATAAGAGAAAATTCTTACCAGAAACTGTGCCCACATCGAGAAACAAATGCTTCATTGATTAATTCGAAGCAGATCGGACTAGAAGAAAAACTGCTTTTTTTTTTTCTTATTTAAAAAATAAAACTTTTTCTTTACCAGTTATAATCTTCTTCAACAACTGAATTAAACGAAGAGACTATTTCAATTTTTGGTGATATTGTTGCATTTGTTGTGGTTGTTGTTTGTGATTGAGATGATGAAATTTCATCTGTACGAGTTCGTTTAACACCAGACATTTTATATGAAAAGAAAATCGATGATCGATTTCTACTACATATATATATTATTATAGACTAAACAGAAGAAAATTCAAACGTCTTACTCGTCTTATGTGATGTATGCAAATGATCGACGGATGAAATATTAGAATTATATGTATAGAAACACACGTCACTGACGCTTTTTTTTCTTCTTTTCTACCAAACACACAACGGACTAGTTGTGATGATCTTTTATATTTATAGAATCGCTTTAAACATAAAAAAAATTTTTGTTTCTCGGTTTACTTTTTTTGTATTTGAAGAAACAATTATACAGATAAAATGATGTTGTTAAATTTGATTTTATTTTGTGTTTTTTTTTTTGTTCCGATTATTGAATTCTTTTGATCATTCAATGAAACAAAATAAAAAGTGTGAAGGAGATACAAAGCAATATTTTTATTGGTTTAGAATATAACAAATCATAATGATGGATAAATTAGTTTAGATTGTTCTAAAATGGAAATAGATTATTGGATTCAATTAGTATTTCTTTTCATTTCTTAACAAAGAATATATGTAACAAATCAATGAAGTCATTTCATAATCTATATAAAACTTTAATGATCACTTAATCAGTTACGTAATCATTGATTGATTGATGAAATATTGTATAACAATATTGTTTGATTCGATGCATAAGATGATACTTTCAAACTTAATAGGAAAACTATATTTTTTTCATCGATACTTTGTTTTTTAGATCAGATTAATAGAAGAAAAAAAAATGACCTCTAACACTAATAATATTATTCAAATCCGAGGTCAAGATTTTGCGGTCAGTAATCGTTTTGTTAATTTAAAATATCTTGCATCTGGTGCTTATGGAATGGTAGTGTAAGTAATTTGTTTCAATGAAAAATGAAAGTTTTCTATTAAGAAAATTCTTATTAGATCGGCATTTGATACTCAAAAACTTACAAATGTTGCTATTAAAAAAATTTCTCCATTTCTTTCCAAGATAAATTGTCAACGAACATTACGTGAAATTCGAATACTACAACGACTTAAACATGAAAATGTAAAAATAAATTATTTTATTCTTTTTATCTTAATAATATATATATATATAATAAATTTCTTTTTAAAGATAATTAATATAATAGAAATTCTTAAACCAACATCATTAGAACAAATGAAAGATATGTTCGTATAAAAATTCAATTGTTATGTATATTAAAATTTTTATTTTTTTTTGCAGTTATTTAATTGAAACATTAATGGATACAGATTTATCTCAATTAATTACAAATCAAAATGGTTCAAAAATTCTATCAGATGATCATATTCTTTATTTTACTTATCAATTATTAAGAGGTGTTAAATATATACACAGTGCTAATGTGTAAGTATGCAAATTAACCAATTCGTATTTGATTTGTTATATTGGTCATTACAATTCATCAAGAAATTGTAAAGAACGAGTAATTGAAAAGTGTTTCAACGAGTTAAAACCTATAATTTTGTCTCATGAGAGAACATTCTCAAGTATGACTCGTCAATCGAGGGTAGATATGCATTAGTTCCAGTCCTGACTGAGTATCCAGCTCTACTAGATATTCAGTAAACTAACCTAGAATTGATTCGATAATTAGTATTTCTGTTTTTGACTAAAGATTTTCGTGACCGAGGAATATGGAATCAGAATTTCAAAATTTTGAGTTTGATTTTTTTAATGAAAAAGTTATAGTTTTNATTGCCATAGCTGTCGAAATGAAGAGAATATGGCTTAATCAAGTGTTCATTTGTAGACCCTTGTTTACTCTTGCAACCAACTATGCATTGGTAGGTGTCATTGACTGATCGAATAATATGATGATTTTGGTTATCAGCAATGTATAAAAAACCATCAACATCAAGTATGACATATGTAGGTTTATTTAATGTTATATTGTTTGAAGTTCGATTTCCTGCTATTGTCTTTCCATTGATTTGTCCTGCTTGGAAATATTGGATTCTATTGTTTCCATAGTCAGCAACATACAGGTTAAATATACTGTCGACAACTATGCCCTTAGGTTCATCAAGTTGATAAGAAGTTGATCCTTTGAAGTTTTCTCCTGCTACGATAACTTGTTGGTTTGAACTTCCGTTAAATAACATCTTAGCAAGTTGGTGTTTATTGGAAATCGAACAGTAGACATTATTGTTATTATCAATAAACAGACCATGACAATGTCCTGAAAAGTTCGCCGAAACGATACTCATAGAATTCTTGAGCAATATGTACACTATTCCGGACTGTTGCTGCCTGAAATCGTCTTTTTCAGATCCGAAATATATTTTACCATCAATATTTACGAAGAGGCTATAGTGTATTGTGATAGTACAATGTTTCTATTTTTTATTGGTATGGTATTTTGTTCATACAATTTTAAAGTTTGCTTGCTATTGTATATAGCTACATAGAATGTATTATTGAAGTCCACGAAAATTCCTGTAGTAGTGTTGTCAATGAATATCTTATTCATAACAGTAGTTCTAATCGAATTCCATTTTGCATTTGGACATATTTTTGGTTGATTGTATGAAATTATGTAGAAAAGAAAAACGTTAACATACAAACATGAGCCTATGTAGTTATCTAATCATTTTATACAATGATAAGAAAAACTGCAGCTAAAAATTTAGTTGTCTGCTTTGTTTAGTCGACTTCGAATCATTTATTATTTGACAATAGATGAAAAGTCAATATTAAATTGATTCTTGTCTAATTTGATAAAAAAAATACTAGAATCTTTTCTTCAGATGTCTCGATGAATTAAAATGTTTTCTTTTTTTTTAGGAAAAGTATTCAAAGATGATTCTAGATTAATCTGATATAATGACAATGTGAACCTGATTAAAAAGATAAAGTATCTCAAAAGTTTAATATAATTATTTTAATGGGTGAAATATCTATGAAATATGCAGCAAGTTTACAAAGGAAAGCAAAAATATGACGTTGTCATCATCTTAAAAAAACTTATTTTTGATTCAAGAGAATGTTCTTATCTATCACTCTATCTTCACTGAACAGTCTTAATTATTATTTCTTGTTACTAGGTTTTCTTCAACTGATAGTATTTATTCGTTTACATTAGCAAAATAGTGTTTTTTGACAATGATTCTAATATCTTTTAAAACAAAAAAACCGAACATTCGTACGTACTTTTATGAAAAATCAAAAAAAAGACACATTTTTATGTTTGATTTTCGTGGGACAACGATCAGAAAATATTGCTGAATTAGAGAGAAATGAAGACGTTACAAATTATCACATGTACTATCTCGTATTTACATTTATACATAAACTAATCGAAATATGTGACTTCATTCGGAAATTAAAAATTTCTCCTGCATAATTAGATGAGTGCATTAAAAAAAAAGAAGAAATGACCTATATCATACCATGTGAAATATTAATATCTCACATAGATGATAGTTCTTTAACCTAGTTCACTGAAACATTCTGAATGACTTATATGAATATACATGTAAATTTAAACAATATTAGCTTATGAATAGATGTACAAATAATTTTTGATGAATTCTTAATAATATTAAAGGCTGATAATCTACTTGAAAATTCTTAGAAATGTAGTGTCTTTTCATAAGAAGAAGTGAAGATGTTGATGATGATTCTCAATTTTTAGATAATAGTTTTCCTGCTGATAGATGATGATCTGCATTTAGTAAACTCAGTTTCAACAATATTCATCATAATTATGTTTTTTAGAGGAGAATCTACAACAACTAATGTTTATCAAAGTGTATTTGAAAGTAAAATTTTATTTTCTTGATGCTTTAAATAAAATATTCCTATTCTTAGAAATAGGTTAGAAAAGTCATAACATAGATCATAACTGATTAAATTGAAAATATAAATTCTTTCCAGCACAATTTTTGGGGTAAACCGATGACATCTTTATTTGATTTACGATTTTCAAACCTTTTTCTCAAATCTAACTAATAAGAACTATACAATAAAAAGAGAATCTAATTTCACATATCTATAACAAATATAATTTTTCAAGACTAATAATCAGTTCTATCTGAGTTTTCTTCAAATAAGAAACGAAAATGATATAAATCTAGTTTTAATTAATTTTGATAAATTCTGCATCTAAGTTGATATTTAAAAAGACAAACAAATATTCAACTATGAATTAAAGAATATTTTAGATAAAATTATTGTTTTATTAATTAAACTTACTGCAAATATTTCTTGCCAAAATAAACTTTTTAATTTGACTATTATTTCTATCGAGGACAAAAATGTTACCGTTTGAATCAAAATTCATAGTATATGGTTCAAAAAATCGATCATCTTTTGCATTACCAGGGTTAGAGCATCCAATTATACAACGTAATTCATCAGATCCGAACCGAAAAATTCGATATTCTTCGTCGACAATAAATAAATTACCATCAGCATCGACTTTAATGTCTATTGGCTTATTTAATAAGAAATTTCTAAATGTATTCTTTGATACCAATGTCTCTCCATCCTATTTTCCATGCTTAAAAAGTTGAATTCTACTATTTTTTTTGTATCTGCTACATATAAATTTAAGTTAGTGTCGACGAAGATTCCAGAAGGTCTACAAAGTGTATTTGAAGTTGAACCACAACTTCCATTACCAGCAACTATGGTTGATGATGAGTTCATTTCACAAAGTGAACGTTTAACAACTCGATGATTGTCAGAAACAGAACAATATAAATTGTTGGTGATGTCAACAAACAATCCGTAACAGATTCCTTCGAAATTGGCCACCGTCACACTACTGTTTAAATTTTTAGACCATTTGACAATACAACTATGTTCGGTTTGATTGTCAAGATAAATGTCTCCATTGTTCGTAACAAAAATACCATTCGAAAGACTAAAATTTGTCAGATTAATTATCTTCACTTTCGAATCTCTTTCGTTTAAAAACTCGAAGTTGCTTATCATGCTGATCACTTATATAAATGGTATTATTATTATCAATAAACATTCCAATAGAAGCAGTCCCTATCATAGTACTATTTGCAATGATGGATCCATTTGTTTGCCACGATATTATTGGACAGAACTTGGTTTGATTGAATGAAAATACTAAAATATACATTAAACTTGTTAATTGTTATAAAGAATGTAAACATTATGTTCTAAAGTTTCTATTATTGCCAACTGTCATTTAAATAACTTTAAAAAAAGCAGTTCATTCATATTGAACTAAGCAATTAGCTCTTCTATTGTTTCGTAAAAACATTAAGATTGATCTATATTTATTTCCTTTAAGGATTCATGAAAATAAATCGATTTAACATCATCCTTGTCAATTTGTATCATAGTGATGGATACATTTTATATAGATTCTCTCTACATTAGGAAATAAATACAATTATCATACTTTAAAACTTAATGAGTCGTGTATTATTTCACAACTGGAGTTCATTCACTAAAGTTTATTGTATGATCTTTAAAAGTAAGCCGACTTATCTCAATATATTTCAAAGCTTCCTTTGCCTGACTTTATGCAAAAAAAGATACGAACTAAACTACTTCAAAAATAATTTTTCTGCAATACAAAACACTATAGTAGTCGTTTCAAATGAATTTGCTAGAATTTGAATCATGAGTTTTACAGATAAAACTTAAGAAAAAAAATCGACTGACTTCGTAAGTTTTTAAGTCATTAGACTTCTTACTATTTGGTTTTTGACTTTTTAAAGGCTTGTCAAAATGGTTATTGATAAAATAACTAATACAGATTTTTAATTTTTTTTAAAAAAACAAAAAGAATTGAAAACATCGTGGTAGTCGATAATGAATAGCTTGTGTGAAGGGTGTGGGTGTGGGAAAAGAGAACACAAAGCGAAACCTACTTACGCTCACGCCCACATAGTAGTAGTCTATCATACGGTATATTTGTTTGAATTCGATCAATTAATATTAAAGAATAACCTTACAAACTTTCGAGCCACTTCTGTCTCATAATTATAAGACCTCTCCCCTCGTATATAAAAATATTGAATTAATACTAACTTTGTCAACACAAATAATTCTTTTTCAAGATCTACTTAAAAGAGAATATTATAAACAATATCCTGGGACAGAAAGATTGTTGACAATTAGGAAGTTATGTGGTAGAAAAGTTAAACATCGAAATTATTGTTATGAAGCTCGACAAAAATAAGTTTTCGCCTCTTCAATACATTGAAATTTAATTTAAAGTGTACCACTGGATAAAGCATCAAAAACTGCATCACCCACATACATTTCCATAGAAGGCTTTCCGATATTTCGCCATTGTGAAAAGACATTCCAGATTCTTGTGGTCAAAGAACATGTGAAAAATCTCTGATTCTCTACCAAAAATCCACATAAGCCTTTTTCTAAAGACATCATTAGAAAGAGTGCGAAATTCTACACAAGATAGGCTATTTTTCTTATCTTGCAAGTCAATCTCAAAAAAGTTGAAAAAGTGGTCTCATAAAGTCGGCAACGTGATGACTCATTTTGCTGGAAAAAGGAGAAAAGTTTGAGAGATCAAAAAAAGATATGTCTTCAACTTTTTTGAGATTGACTTGCAAGATAATAAACATAGCCTATCTTCTGTAGAATTTCACACTCTTTCTAATGATGTCCTTGGAAAAAGATTTACGGGAATTTTTGGTAGAGAATCAGAGATTTTTCACATGTTCTTAGACCAAAAGAATCTAGAATGCCTTTTCACAATTACAATATATCGGAAAGTTTTCTTTGAAAATGTATGTGGATGATATAGTTTTTGATCTTCTATCCAATAGTATACTTTAAACTGAATTTCAATATATTCATGAGGCAAAAACTTATTTTTGTCGAGCTTCATAACAATAATTTCGATATTTAACATTTCTACCATATGATAGACTACTACTATGTGTGTATGGATATGAGATCAGATTAAAAATGAAACCTCCTTTAGTTGGATAAATCTTTATTTTTCTCAAAACTCAAAGTGGGAATTTTATATTTTTGACACACCCTGTATATCTGGTTTTTGATTTTATTCTGTCTTGTTCCGTTTTCAAAGAAATACTATGACCGATGCATCAAAATTTTGCCTATAATAATTCTTTACAACGACTGACTAATAATATAATTTCAATCTAACTATTATGACAAACATCATATAAAATATTTTTAAAAAGTTTTCTAAATTTGAATATTAATAAAAGCAAAACTTTAAATTGAAATTAAATTTTGATTAATATCATACATATATGGGTTAATGGCAACTTTATTGTAACGTTTCATGAAAAAATGGTCGGAGAATTTTTTTTCGATTTTCAAATAGATGAGTAGTGCATTGTACAGTATCATATGAGAGAAGAATATAATTGAAGTTTCCCGACTACCACTATGAATTTGGCTATGATACACGACAACCGCGTAAAAAACACATGAAATTTGCTAAAATATGGTTGTTCTGCCTGGATATATTAAACTTTCAACATACGGAAGTTTTGTCAAATATATTAAAAAATTTTATAAATTATGGCGATACATATATGTATTATGCGGAACCACCTTTAGTTTCACTTGATTAGAGCATTTTATCCGATTAATAATCTCGCGCGACATATTGACGATATTTTCCCTCTTTCGCACAATAGACAGGTCTTCTGACTCTGATATTTTAACCAGAGTAATTAGGCACAATAAGTGAATAAAATGATCAAAGTTTGGTCGCATTCTGGCGTAGTATAAGAAAACTATGCCCCAAACAAATTAAAAAATCTCGCGTGACATTTTGTGTGACAATTGAATTTTTAAATTGAATTTTATATTTCTTTTCAAGAAGAAGTAGGACAATTATCTCATCGTCTTTAGTGGTTTTATATAGCACCAACTGCCTTTTATTTAACAGCAGCCCGATCAATTCCAGACGGGTCATTGCGTAGTAAAATGAATTTTAATCTCACGTGACAGAAAATTGAGGGTTGTCTGTACTCATGATATTTCGAGAAAACTATGATAAAAAAAACATCGAACGAACCAATGAGTTTTATATTCGAGAAGTGCAGACTGTATATTATAAATATCATCAACTGTCAAAATTCAAATAAGAAATAACGAATTGGCCATACGACTTTTCGTCCAATAAACGGCAGCAGATATCGAAATTCTGAGCCTTGTACAGCCAATATCTCAGGACTTATTCAAGATAGCCTCGTGATTTTTTTGTGTGGTAGTGGGGACTTCTTAGTAAAACATATGGTGAAAAAATCACAAGGATTGGTTGAATAAAACTCGAGATATTGAAATTTTACGTTCAAGAATATAACGGTACAATAAAGTTGCAATTAACTCATATATATATACTCTGACCACTTACAGATACAATTAATAAATTACTACAAATCTTTGGCGAACAATTTGATATTTTTTCTATCTTTCTTTAATCCTTGAGATATTATACTCAATCAAACTAGTTTTTGATGATAATTAAGTTCAGCAAGAGTGAGAATTAAAACTTGTTAAGTTTTCAAAAATGGGGCGATATTGATTTTATTAATGAAACCAAATTCGATAATAAAAATAAAACATTCTTGAATATTTACCAGATGTACTTTTCATGATCAATATAGCAATCAATTGTATAAAGACAATATTCTTTGATGGCATTGTTTCTTTTTTCTTTTGACAGTTTTTTTTTTTATTACCAATTTTGAGAATTTACAAGTGAAGTATATTTCAATATTAATAGATACTTGTTATTTTATTCGCTTACAGAAAGAAAAATGAAGATTAAAATACATGACTTGTAGTTTTTTTGAAGCATCATCTCAGCTAAAGAGAGTTTCATGATTAGTCCTTTTTCGATATAGAATCGAAAATAGTGCAGAAAGTAGATGCTAGTGTCTTTTAGTTGACCATCTTTGACATTAAAGCTATGAGAGAACAACTGATGTTAGCCATTATTAGCAGAGAGATCAATAAATGATCAATGCATAAAATACTCATGCAGAAAGCATTGATAATGATTAAAAAAACATATCATTGTAATTGTGTTTGTTATATATCTAACATTTATTAAATTAGTATTTCTAAACATTTAACTAAAATGATGAGTTTAAATAAAAGCTTTTTTGCAATATTGATAGTAAAACAAACAGTCGCACCACTGCAATATTTTGGTGAGAGATTTTTTCCAACCTTATAATTAAGGCATTGTCGCGAGTATCAGGCAAGATTTACTAAAAAAGATTCAGCATCTGAAAATTAGCAGTATTTCTTATCGAAATTTATGTTACTAATTTTGTTAGAAGCTCATAAAGTTTTTTTTATAGGAAAAGAAGAAATTGTTTGTTGAAGAATAAGGGTGTGGGTGTGTGGGTGTGTTTTAAGATGAGATCAACGCACACCCATATTCTCACGCACACTCACCACATACCCACACCCTCGTTTATCGAAGAGAATAAAAAGAGACTAATATGCGCAATTAACATTGACGTCAATATTATATTGACATTTGTAATCGATATCGTATTTAGTCAAATGTTAGTAGATTTTGTTCCAGAGACACGTTCAATTAATATTATCATTTCTCAGATAATTTTATTCTTTTTTTTTTTTATATTTCAGGTATAAAGCTTGACACTGAAATGATACCTTTCAATAGTATGATACAAAATTACTAGAAATAGTTAAAATATAGATTATCTATTTATTAATGGAAAGTTTTATTTCAGATAAATTATTAAAGAAATTTTCAAGTCAGATTATATCTTCAATAGTTAATATTATTTTACAGATATGAATAATAATTCTACTAATGCTTAAGATAAATTCAATAATATATTCTATTACAATTGAAACAGAAAGATTCTTCGATATTTATTCAAATTTCTATAGTTATTAGAGATTTCTGATAGTTTAAATATTATATCATAATGACATGATTGTTACTATTGAAATTTTCTAATGCAAAGAAAACAAGAAAATAAATTTGAATATTCAAATGAGTTAAACGATCACACCATAAANGAGAAATAGTTTCGCTAGAAATTAGAGTTTTCTCGGCAATACTGGAAAAAAAGGGTCTTTTTATGTAACAGCGTTACACGATAATAAAACCTTTCTAGACGTTCGAGACTTCAGCCGAAAAAGGTCGTTCTTATAGCATAAATAGAGTTTGATTAGTTGTGTCGAATGGCGTTTGAATGAACTTTCTAGCTGTTAAACCTTCCGAGTTAATTGAAGAACAGGGTGTCAAAAACGTAACAGCGTTACGTTTGGACAAGCCGTATTACCCATATCGATATATTTATAGCTTCTTTTTTTGTAAAGATACAAAATTGAAAGAAAATTTAAGTTTAATAGGTCCGACTTTTTATTTTTTCGAAATAATAAATACTGATTCAGTGTGATCAATTGAAGGAATAGTTGGGAAGGCCAGAATTTTGGCCCAAGAAAGTTTCGGCCCGAACTCAAAATGATGGTGTGAAAGTGAGGGTGAGGGCGAAAATCCCGGGCCGAAAATTCCTTCGGTCGGAATTCCTGTAACCCATTTGAAGAACGTGATAATATATTACAAGAAAGTTATGTTGCTGAAAAATATTGCAAACACATAATTGATGAACCTAAACGAGAAACAAAAATAGTCAAAGAACAAAATTATAGTATTTATTTGTTATTGTCAACCAAATTTTCAGTTATTACTTCAAAACAAGATCAATACGGTAATAATACACTTATCCACATTATCTTATTATTAATTTTTGCAGATGTTAATAGAAAAAAAGTTCGAGCAAATTTAATATAACAATTCCCAGGATAATCGTTCCGATCATCAGAAACGGCAAAAAACGATTAATACAGCCGCATATAACAGCATTTAATTTCGCAATATCTCGTCTTAATCTATGATGCCATTCACTGTTATTATTGTTTTCTGAGATGACGAATTAAGATGATGTCCGGGCAACGGTTTTCACTTTCTTATATTTTTTTGGGTATCATCTTCTTGGATATGGGGTACTCTGGCAATTATTTTGATAGAATTTTTGAATATTTAGTGGAGCAATTTTATAATTAACAAATTTTACTTTTAGTTTCGTTTTTGCTATTAGTCCCCTTCTGCACTAGGTATCGGACGTCATAAAAGAATTTTACTTGAAATAATAATTGCTTTATCAAAGTTTGTTTTTCCTGAAAACCTAATACAAGAATGTTTAAAATGGATATTTGTTGAATGTGAAGCGACTGAAATAATTTTTATCAAAACTACAAGTTTTGTTATTATTCATCTTAAACTCGAAATTCTATATCAATATATCCTGCAAATGATCCATTATGTTTCATAAAAAAAAAAGTACACAATACTGCGACCTACGTATCATTGAATTATTCTTACTTTCCGGTCAGATAAATGTTAAAGAAAAATCAGCTATTCAAACCTGTACTGTCTGTTTCACAAATCATAATTGTGATTATTTGAATTGCTCTAACATATATAGTGACATATTTTATATCATTTTTTAATCTATCAAATGCATGTCGTTTTCTTTTTATTTAAAATAACAACATATATTTTAAATATTAATAAAGTTTAAATTCTTGATTGAGTTAGTATTAAGTACATCTTATCAAAAACAAATAGTTTCACAAAAAATGAAAAAATTTTCTTACTCAAACAGTCTTAGTATAGATTTAAAAATGGGTTATAGAAAAACAAATTGATCCTTAAAAGTGTGATCACATAGCAACGAACCCAATGTTAAAATATTCAACGATACATACAATACAAAAAAAAAAAGTTTAATTAATGATTATTCAACATGATCGACAAGAGAAAAAACTCCGATGCCATTCGTAAATTTTTCAGATAAATACTACTTCAAAGCTTAATAAATATTGTCTTCATCTTCATATGAAGAACATAAACCATTGCTACTTGCTTGTCTTTGTATTCGATTCTGAATACGAATAAAATCATTAGATTTTCATTTTATCATATTAATTTAAGAGCAGATGACTTCAACAACAACGGTAAAATAGTAGCGTATGTTGTGTGACTCAGTGCACAATTATTCTATATTTCATTAAATATATTTCTATATGTAGATAATTTTTGTAGTATACTCTTTTACATTATTCGACAACGGACTCTCTCTCTCTCTCTCTAGAGTGGAATAATCGAAAAATCAGTGCTCTATAATAGATTATTCATTTTGTCGTTATTTGAAACAATATTTCAGCTGGTCTTCGTTATTGAAGAGACAGCTTCTAATTATAATATAGTACAGTAATCATTACAGACTACTGACTTCTCGGCTGTTGCTCACTGGAGAAAGTCTATAATCATATCATTCGAAAGAGTACACTTCAAAGATTTTTCATATACGTATATAAGTATATATATTTAAATATTTTAAAAAGAATGTAGAATCGTTGTGCTCTAAGTCAACTAACATAGGTCACTATTATTTTCTCGTAATTAGGGTCATCTGCTCTACAATCGATTTGAAATGTGTTCGGTAGCAGCATGTGTCGTGTTTGTGTTTACACTTACTTTTAATAAATCTGATGAACTAGAATAATAAAAGAATAAAGAGATATATATCTTTATAAGAGTAAACTAACCGGACAGCAGTGTCATGAAGTGTTATAGGCGTATTTGATCTTGATCTATATGAATTTGTTCTAGTAAACGATCCACTACTATCTAGTGAATTAACTAAATGTGTTCCAATTGTCGATATAACTTTATCATCTTGTTTATTATGTGCTGAACGTAATAGTATTTTTAAACCTTCATCTCTTCCTAGATGCTCAAGATGTATAAAATTTGTTGGTTCCGATATCAATGAACCCGAAGATCTTTCTGATATGTTTAAAGTTCGTTTTGACCAATTTTTTTGTGCTATATAAATTAATGTTGCATGATTTTTAACAAGTTCTGGATCATAAGAAAGAGAAATAGTACCATCTGATGTTAATGGATATGTATTTGATAACGGTAATGATTGTAACCATATTCCTAAGGATATATCATAAATATCAATAGATATTTTTGTATAAACAAGTAAATATGGATCGAAATAGGATGTTGAGATTGGTAATGCTGTCCACAGTAATTCTCTATGACGTGTTCGCATTCCTGTTGAATAATTTACATAAATACCTAGTTTACTATAGACAAGTAATAGTTCATTGTTAGATGATGAATCTAAACAATATGATTAATTTAATTATTTTATTTAAAAGTAAAATTCAATAAACTGACTTGTCACAGGTACAACACGCAATATATCAATAGGTAGTTTACGAAAAATTTGTAATGTTGGATCAGTATCTCTTATCAGAGTAAAGCTGGGACATTGTTGATCAATCGGTTGTGCCATGAATGTTGATGAATAACCATACCAGAGTATTTCTTCTTCACTGTTATTTATTTTTAATATTGATATTTCCAAATATGTTATAATTTGGGTTGTACTCAAATCGTGTATAAGTGTATATGGATATGGTCTATAATTCGAATGTATTTTAAAAAGAAGAAGACGATTTTTAATAGCAACACATAAAGTTAACGATGTTGAATTTACTGCAAATAATGTTGCATTTTTTGTTTCAAGTATTTTGCCATTCCACGATGGCTCTGACTGAGTAAGTAGACATTTAAGAGGTTTTATACGAATCATACGCTCCTTTCCGGATAGCATTACTAATAACTGATTATCTGATATTAACGATAAGTGATGAATAATTTTTTTATATAATCTTGTAGGTTCTAAAAATATATAAATAAAGATAAGTATAAAAAAAAACAAATACAGAGAATTCATACTATTATCGAAAACATCGAGTAAATAAAGACCCTCTTCACCAAAAATAAGAAAACGATTCGGATCTAAAATTAAAAGAAATCGAAATATTTCATTTTTTATTTTTGATTATATTTTACCAAGAATGTGAGCTCCTGTTATTTTTTCTAAACTTATATCAAATATTTCTTTTGTAGTAAAAGTTCCACATTGCTAAGAAAAATTAATTAAAAACTTTCTATAAACAAAAATTATCTACTAACTATTAAACCATTCTTTATACGAGTATTTAATTTCATTGAAAGATCTGATAGCATGCTAATGTATTGATTTTTTTCTAATTCATTATTTGTTAATACATAGATATTTTCCATTTGTTTTGGTGATGATAATTTTTCTACACTTATCTAAATTAAACTTTGAAAAATTGAAATATTAACAGAAGAAAAAATGAGTTAATCTAAACCTTAAAAATGTTTGATATATCTTTTTTTTTAGCATGTATTGCATCTTCTGGTGTTATTGGACAAACATGAAATGTATCATTACTAAGATCTATTATTAAAGATGGTTCTGATTTGGCTATATTTGTATTATTTGATAAGTCATAAAATAATAATTTTGTTTGAAAAAATAATATTTGATATTGATTCCAACCTTTTCTTATGCCACCAGTTTTTGGTATCTGTTTCAATTCTATTTTAAAATAGAAGATTCATATTTATAAAACATACTTGAACAATATGTTGGACACTTAGATTTGCTTGATTTAAAAAAAAAAAAAAGACATACACAGATGAAGAAAAATCGATAAAAAAATTTACTTCGACGTTTATTAGATGGTTCACATGGAATTTGAACTTTCTCTACACAATCAGGATGACAAATTACTTCACAACCTAAAACATGAGTCTATTTGAAGATTAAAAGTAATCTTAAATCGATTTACGTTCACAGAAAAATCCTTGTCGAATAATTCCAATTAATACATTGTGACAATAATGACATGTACATGGTGAAGAAAAACTATTGATTCTAAAGTCATGAAATTCATTCTATACGGAAAAAAAAAATCAATCTTTTTTAAATTAGATTATTAATTTAATGATTTTACTTTAATTGGAGTTAATCGTTGATTACTATTTGGTTTGTCCGACTAGAATTTAATATAAATAGTTTTATGAAAAATCAAACATTAATCATCTCACTGGTACATGCAGAGTCGATGGTTCACTAATAACAGCTCTTAGAAATTGATCAGTTGATGTGCAATGATCATCATTGGTAGTCGATGATGTATCTAATAATAAAAACCAAAAATATATTAGTCGAATATAATTTCTGTAGACGAAACGCATATATATTTGTTTTCAGTTGTTCTAAAGCTTCTAACTTTCATTATCTTATATTTATATTAGTCGAAACACTGTCTTCATTTTGATTCGTGTAGTTGATATAAAAGCATTCTTTTAGAATTTTAAGAAAACTCAAGAAAATTATAAATCGATCAAGATCTGAAAATATCGCTGCTGTATTAAAACACTGCTCTTTAACCATAGCGATATTAAACCCATAGTCTCATTAGACTTACAGTCATTCATACTAGCATCTTACACCCACATCTATCCTATGAACGAATAGTCTTCTCAATAAATATTACAAACACTTTTTGAAAACAGGCTCTATCATTTTTTGTATTCTAGTCTTATTAGTAGTTCGATCCAATTGGTTTTGCATTCATTGAAACTTTGATCTGCTGTCATTCTCAAAATCAATTTTGAATTAGAGCATTCAAGGATGTGTGGGTGTGGATGGATGTGCATAGAAGTTTGATTAAGAGAAATTAACTTACACATTGCATCTACTCTATCTATTAAGGAGCTTAAAATCAATATATATAGATTTGTAGAGAATTTAACTTTGCGTCTTATAATTAAGAAGAGTATGCCGATTCAATGAAGAAATTCTGAAAATACTAACGGTACTAATCTTTATACGTCACCAATTAGTTTCTACAAATCAATGAAAAACCTTCTATGAATTTTGACGTAACTTTTATTTCAGTGACAATAATAGATAACAAATATATATGTATATGACTGTGAATATCGATCTCGACGAGTAGGAAATAATCAACAAAAAAGGATAATGCATACGAGAATCATAACTTAGTTTACACTCTTTATTAATCAGATCATCGTCAATGATAAAATTCATTTGATAACCCTAAATTTTCTTTGAGCCTTCATTTTATATATTTAAATTTATTTAATTCTTATTTTTGAAGCGGACAAACAGATTAACTAGTTCGATATCTCAAAACGATCCGTTAAAAAATTAGAATTTCTTCTCTCTCCTATGTCAACTATTCTCCGATGTATCCTGAAGACTTCATTTGATTTGAATGTATCTAATTCCAAATTGATTTTGAGAGAAATTTAAATATGTATAATCTACCTGGAATAGTTGTTATTGATAAATGTTTTGCTTGTTCATCAATTAATTGTTTTTTGATTAATTCATTTTCTTGTTTCAAATGATTAATTTCTCTATTTAAATAAAAATTATTAATAAAAAAATGATGAAAAAGAAAATGAATACTAACTCAATTTTACAAATAATTTCTGCTTCCGATTGTTTTAATTTTTCTTCTACTTGTTGTCTAACTTCAATTTCTCTTTCTACTGTTATTCGTAATTGTTGAATTTCCATATGTTGTAATTTAAGAGAATGACTAAGTACACGTGACTAAAAAAAAGAACAAAAACGAGTTTTAATTTAAATAAAAAACTGAATTCTAACTGGTTTATTTCCAATAATTGAAATTGATGATGTTCTACTACAAATAGACATTTGACGATTTCTTAATTCTTGTATTTGATCAAGTTCTTCAGTCATTTGATTTGCGAATTGTTTTAAATATGAATTTGAATGTTTATCTTCATTAATAATTTTAAATATTTTTGCTTGTATTTTTGAATATTTACGATGTTTTTCTTCTAAGGATATTAATTGTTCACTAAGTTCTGTTTTATCATGTAAAATTTTATTTATTCGTTTATAAAGATCATTAAAAAATAAAATAATATTTTTCAATAATGGATTATTTATTTTCTTATCTTCTATTGTTAATGTTATTTCATCATCACCATTATTAGTGAATAAATGAGAAAATTTGTCTTGATATTTCGACATAAGAAGAGATATATCATGTGAAATAGATTTGTCTTTATCTTTAGAATCCTTCATTAATAATGATTTATAATTATTTAAAAAAGAATTTATTCGTTGATCTAAATCATTTCTTATATCATCTAATAATAAAGATGAAGAATTTTGTCTATGAAAATTCTTATTTCTATTTGAATCAGGAAGATCTTGAAATAAATTTAAAATGCGAGTAAAATATTCAATTTGTTCATGTTTTGATACTTCATATTGTTCAGTATAAAAATCTCTCAATAACTGTATTTGACGTGTTTTTGCAATAGAATCACTTTTTACTTCGTCATATGATTGACGCAAACGATTTAGTTCTTTAATCAATGATGTTTGTTCAATTTCCAATGACTTTATTTTTTCCTCATGTTTGCTATTTTCCGATTGTCTAAATGCACCGATTGAAGATATATCATTACCTATGGGGAAAAAAACTCACAGCATTTCATATAATAACATAAAATATTTTATTACCTATCGTACCAGATTTAGCAGAAAGAATCGTCATTTTCGGTGTTGGATGAGGATTTGTGTTTGTTTTGCTGAGAGAAGCAGAAGATACTTGAGTGAGTTCAGTACTATTTGATGAATGACTAAACAATCATTGAAAAATAAAATTATTTTAAAATACGAGAGAAAAAGAAATATACAGAAAGATATAAATTGAAGGGACGCGAAAAGTTATTTATTTAGTCGACGATAAAAGTTTCGCCCGCTGACTATATCGTTTATTTTACGTTTTATAAGGACATTAAAAAAAGATAATATTTTTATCACATACACTGTTCTTCGATACTTCGTTACTCATATTCAGCTTTTCTATTTCTTTAAGTTTTCTGTTTTAAATTGATTAAATACTAGAAACCATTAAAAAATTAGTC